TCCAGGTAAACTTTCATTATAATATCGAACAATTATATTTTGTATAATAACATATTGAATCCATTGAAAACCACTTGATAATGAACATATACAAAAAATAATTAATACAGCAAAACGTCTTGGATAAACTGTATAAACTCGTGCTGTATCATTTTGAATATTTGTATCCGTATTGTTTTGTATATCATTTGATGCTGGAGAAATCATAAAAAAAAAAGAAGTACATAAAAAGAAAAAATAATGATTGTGAATCTTTGTCATTTAGTTTATTATGGTACTCGATTTGATTTTTATCTTATCAGTCTATATAAAATAATTTTCTAACCTTCAAACTTACTTAATGCACATGGTAAATAATTTTTTGCCGTTATATTTGCCATTAGAGATTGTTGTTGAGAGATATTTTGTACTAATTACACCTATTTTTTTCTTTCTATTTTTCATAAATATCATTGTTGTTATTATCTTGCGTACACATATGGTTGGTTGCGTGTGCGATTTTTTATCAAGAATAACATACATTCTATACAATAGATAAAACCTTGTCGGCAAGAAAGAAAAAAGGAAAAAGAAAGAACGAAAAAGAACACAATAGATTGATCATTATTAGTATTCATAGGTTCATTTGGTTTCTTTTTTTTTTCTCTATGGTCAATCAATATTTCGCTACGTTCATTGATATTTTCGACATGTATTGTAGCGCTATTGTAAGTTTGTCCGATCGGTCGGTCACAATAAAGATATAGAACATTTTGAGTATTATTGTTGAATATGAATACAATTTCCGTTGTTACACGTGATATAAATGAATTTTTAAAACATCCATTAATTATTTGGGCAGAAAGTTTTATTGAAAAAGAAAATAAATTATCATATGAACAATTAATTAATAGTACATGTTTTCATGCTATTATTCGTTCAATGTAAGTGCAAAAAAAAAAAAAAAAAAAGAAAATTTTGAGAACAAAATAATAGATTTTTCATTTTTTTTTTTCATTTAAATGAACTAGTGATCCTCGTTTACAAAATTCTCGTTTACCAAATGAAGCATCTGATACAAGTAGTCGATTAGTTAATTTAGATTTTATTTTACGAAGTATTCGATCATTTGTTCAAGTAAAATTTATTTCTTTTTTTTTTTGTATTTTTGGCTTGATGTTTTTTTTTTATGCTTTTTTGCTTTTGTAAAGGATGTGCTTCGCTATATAATTGTGGCTGAATTACCTAATATTTATGTAATTGCTCATGAACCGTATGCAGGTCGGTTTTGTAAATAATTCTTTTATTTTATTAGTTAAAGAAAAGAGAGAATTCTTTTTTTTTTCTTTTGTTGACTTTTTCTAAAAAATCGAATAGAAAATATTCGATACGATATTTAAAAGGTTTCAATGATGATTACCAAAGATCGACAAAAAACAAAAAATGTTTGATTATGTTGAAATCTTAAAAGTTCTTTAAATGTTTATTTAAATAACAACGATTCGAATATTTCATTGGATACATTTTTTTTTTTCACAAGACATTAGTTTTTAAAGTAGAAGAGAAAAAAAAAGCCCAGGAAATTCTATATGAAAATTTGTTGTTATAAAACTTAATTGATTTTGATAAGTGTACCGAATTTTTTGTATGTTTTTGATAATCAATATGATATATATATATTCTTGATGAAATTGAGTACATGGAAATAAGATTTCATGAGTTAGTTTATTCTATGAGATCGAAGAACTTTAGATTCTATTTATAGTAATCAATATTATTTACGAATGTTCATAGTATGTAATCGATTTTTGAAAATATTTAAGAAACACAGCTTGAGTTAATGGAAGCAATAAAAAAAGAAAAGGAATCGTTTATATATTAATGCATAAGTGGATCCGATAATGTAAAAGCTATTAAATATGACGTCAGAAGGCTACTATTGTAATCGTTTAATTTTACATTTATGTTATTTCTATAGGAATGTATTCCTTAGAGAAATGAAAATGTTTCGTGTTCAAAATCAACTTTCTCAATTGAATTATATAATTATCTGACGTCAGAATAGAGATGGTGATGATATGCGGTTTTTTTAATCTATCAACGTAATCGAATCCAGCTCGTCTCTTCGCGTGTTGAATGATTTTTTTTTTGACTTGCGTGTTGAACAGTCGTTAACCCATTGGGGGAGGATTATTACAAATTATATTGTTATAATGTTTATAAATAGAATATTATATATAGATATTAAACAATTTAAAATATGTTTCAAAAAAAACAACAAATAACAAAAGAAAAAATAAATGTTCATATATACATTATTAATATAACAAACACAACTTTGACTAGAATAATAAAAATAATAAATGAGACAATAAAATAAAGAAATTAATCATCAATTTATATTTTGAACAAAAGTCAGTAAACTTGATTTTTGTGTATGTTTGTTGATTACAATAAAGAAGATCGGACTTGCAAAAAATATTGCTCAATATTAGCAATAGATGTGATTATATAGATGATTAAATTTGTTAGCTAATAAAGATTTAATTCATTTTCATTTTCCATCATAATAAAAGTAAATCATCATAGTATGATTATTATCTTCAGTACGTTATCGTTTTATTTGTTTGTTTCTTTTTTTAGTTCGATAACGAAGAAATAGGAATGAATAATGAGCGTGACTGTATGTAGAAAGACAAAAATTTTGTAAACAGATTCAATCCGTGAATTACATGTAACATTTAAAGCCGACTCATGGAGATCTAAAGGTCAACATATCTATTTCAGAAAACGATCTCATTTCTAATATATATATACATAACTGTATGAAAATTCTAATTCATTAACTTTTATGAATAATTCATCTTTAGAATTTAATATATAATTTTATTTTTATTTAGAATATTCATTCGATGAAATTGAACGTATTTTATTACTTTTACTTGCATGTTCAGTATCAGGTGGTGATAGAAAAGATATTCATATTCAACATTTAACAACATTAAATGAATCAATTCAACAATCTCTTATGCCACATATAGAAGAATTAACAAATGAAATAAATATAATACTTCAACCACAAGAATATTTTTTTAATGATTATTTTAATACAGATAATAATAAATATCTTAAATGTTTATTTATTAATTTAATAAATTTAATTAATGAACGTGATCATTATTTTGAAGAAATACTTGAATTAGAACAAGATAAACAAACATTAAAACAAAAACTTGAATTATATCAATCAAGTTCATCAAATTTATTAAATATAGGTAATTGTAATAGTGGAACTAATTTACATACAACACCAAGTCAAACATCATTAAATACATTTTTAAATGATCTTGAAACAAAAAATCCTGGTATTGAAATAACAGAATATAAAACTAAAATGCGTCAAATGAAATCAGATTTGTAAGTTGGTTTTTTTTGTAAGAATTTCAAATTTTTTCTTTTTTTTTGTTTAATCTAGAGATGATAAAATGGATACAATTGAAACTATGCGTGAAGAATTTGAATTATTACAAACAGAATTAAATCGTATTAAAAATGAAAATATTGAATTAAATCAAAATGCACGTTTAACAAGACTTTATCGTGATGAAATAGATACTTTAAATGATAAATTAATTAAAATGGAAAAATATCAACAAGAACTTGAAAGATATAAAGAACGTTTCAATGATTTTGATACATTAAAAAATCGATTAGAAGAATTACAAAATGAAAGTAAGAATTTTATTCTTTACTTCTTATATTAAAATATATTGGAATATTTTATAGATCAACTTCTTTCTCAAGCTCGTTCACATCTTGAACAACAAATTGAAGGTAAGATTTGAAATTATAATTCTTCGTCAGAGAAATGCTTTGATATGCGAAATAAGATAGGGTGTGGGTGTGAATGAAGAAGTGACTCCCATCCTACTAAAATTAGTCTGGAAAAGTACTTTGGAAAAACACTCCTCCACACAGGCTTGTGTCCGACGCTGTCCTTTATTGAATAGTGAAAACCACAGATCGTTATGGCTTTTCGTTCAAAAGTTATAAGCTTTTTTTTGTTAGTTGCCTTCTTTAAAAATTCCGATACTAGTTACCTTATCATCAACAGTTCTGTTTTATCTTCTGGCAAATACTCAAATTCTGGAAGTGGTGTTCATCTCAGAATTTTTTTTGTAATTGTAGCACTCTATTCAAGAGAATTTGACGCGTCAGAATTGCATTAACCTTGTCGTCTAACTCCTATTAACTAAATTTTATTATGTAGAAAAATGAGAAAGTCTTTTTATATTATCTATTTACTATATTTTGCAATATATATTTATTTTGCTCATTGACTTATTCCCATAAATAACATAATAGAAATTCTCATCATATTTAAATACATTCGAATAAAAAAAAACAAAATTTTTCTTTTTTTTTTTTAATGTTTATTCAGAATATCGATATCGTATAAATGAAATGCTTCAAAGTGAAATAGATATAAAAAAATTTCAACATGATATTGAAACAATAACACATGAACGTGATATGATACGAGAAAGACTTTCAAATTTACTTGAAGATAAAGTAC